AGCGCTTCCGGTGAACCGCGCGATGGTGGTGACGGCTTCGCAGTTGGCTTCGTACGACGAGTTTAAGGAAACCATTCTTGGACGCGGGTGGATGAAGGACGGGATGGGGTGCCACGTGGCAGCGAGTTTTGCGGCGGGTTTTGTGGCGGCTGTTGCGTCCAACCCTATTGATGTTATAAAGACTAGGGTTATGAACATGAAGGCGGAGGCTTACAATGGGGCATTGGATTGTGCTGTTAACACTGTTAGGACTGAAGGACCTCTTGCCCTTTATAAGGGTTTCATCCCTACAATTTCAAGGCAGGGCCCTTTCACTGTTGTCCTCTTTGTCACCCTTGAACAAGTCAGGAACCTGCTCAAGGACTTTTGATTTTTCATTCATTCATAGCCTGAGATACATATTCAGATGAGATGATCACGAACCATTTGTAACCTTCGTTTTTATTTTTATTTTTATTTATTTTATTTAGTATTGAGGTTTTGGAAGACTACCTTCTTCAGTCTCATGTTTTCGCATGCAATACTTCATAGAAAAGGCTACAACCTCAAGCCACTTGATATGTTCTAATATGTTCTAATGGGTTTTTGTCATAATACGAGTTAATGTTGCCCATGTTTGTGTTATGCACCTATATATTGACCAGTTTTTTTATAAAAAAATTTGGAAAAAAAATTCTAAAAAGAGCAAATATAAATTGATTCTTGACAAAATCAAAAACAATTTTTTTAAAAATAATTTAGACAAACACATCAAATGAAACAAAAAACTTCTTATTTTACTAAAAAAATATTTTTGGAAGAAAAAACTTAAATAGTGTCAACCACACTCATGTGTAACTACCTAAGTTTTGTCTTTATCAAATATCAATATTGCATTAATCTTGTAACAATAAAATGTGTATATTGCATTAATCATATATAGCTGATTCACCAAATTGAGCTAGTCATAACTCTTCCTAATTCTCCACATTTAAAAGTATCTATCTGTTGGGTATTTCTTTTCTTTTTGTTTGTGAATGGAGTCATGAATCGAGCTCTTCGTTAAATTAAGAGATTCCCTGAATCTGATTATAGGTAGACATAATGATGTTATGTATACAAAATTTACTAGAAAGAAGGAATTTGGGGCAAGGTTATCAGCCTAATACTTTGCCAGCTTATGCCAAACAACTCAAACGTTGTTGCAGTTACAAATACGATAATGTAATTGCAAATTATCATGCTGTTCACTGAGATAGTAAAAAATCAGCATGTTAGGTTACAAACAGTTCGGCGTATGTCAGGGGAAAGGTTGAACTATGCCTTGCACATGGTGCATTTGGGGGGGGGGGGGGGGGGAGGG